TATCTTTTTTACTTTTTTTAACATGCTGCTTTTGAAACACTTCCTCTCTCTCTCTTAGATGAGACTTAAATGACAGTAAGTACAGGAAGAATTGATAAAACTCGTGTAATTACTGAGCTCTTGCGCATTTTTCAATACTACAATTGATAATGACCATTTATAAGATATATTTTACGAGTTGCTATTTAAAGATATAGTTCTTTAAATTGTTCAACTATAGTTGTCCCTTGGTTGTTCAAATATTGTAATAAAGAAAATCTTTTTAGTTTCAAGTATTTTACTTTAGGGATTGTCCATATATTACATAATGCGAAATTAAACTTATAGACAAAAGATATATCTCAAAAATCGTGTTTCTCTCATAGCCAACTATATGTTGCATGTTCAAAAACTACAGCATTTAATAGTTTGTTTTTCACAATTGTTAAACATCCTATCAAGGTAAAAAGTGAACACAAATAGTGTTATACTTTCTATTGTTCTTAATTAATTATCTTTGGATTTTTATTTCGATAATTTACTGTTAAAGGTTGTGAGCATGTGTAACTTTATTTATTATTATTTTTTTTTTCCATAGTTTTTAATAAATATATCTGTCATTTAATATAAAATGTGCTTATATGTCTTATATAAAGTCATATTTGTTTATAGCTGTATATATGTTTATATTGAGCTGTTTCTATGTTTTCAAAGTGGTGTGGCTTGGTATTATGTTGAGCAAGTTTGATAACCTTGCCAGCCAAGAGGTGTACTTATAGCAGAGGTGTGACTTAGCATCATTTAATGCTAGGCAGTGTTACTGCTTTAGAGCTAGGTTGTGTTGTCTAGCCTTTTTAAATTATTCTGAAAACACATAATAATGTCTGTTAATGTTTAGCGTAATGTGTATGAGAGAGTATGCAACCTAAATCTTTAAATCTAGCGTGCTTTAATGTCCTAAATTTGAAATAATTGAATAACTAATGTTGAATATAAAAACAAATATACCTTATTTAAAGTTTAATAAAAAGATAAATATAACTCTAAAATATTTTTTTAATTTTGCCTTTCATATTTTAATTTAGTTTGTTATTTTCACTGGATTTTATTGCTATGTGTTATTGCTGTAATGTTACTGTTGTGATGTTTTGTGTTGATAGACAGCTTGGCTTACCTTCCCGTTGGCGTCTATTGTTAAAAATGAATCATAGGTAGTTTCATTATTGGAATTTACTGCTTTTATTTATTTACTAAAAACAAAGACAACATTTTGCTAAAAGTGCAATTTAAATCTTAGTTTGATTTTTTTTTTTGTTAATCCTTTTGTACTTCAAAACAGATTTTATAGTTACATTTTTGATAAAAGTTTATATTAACTGCAATTAAAGTAACTATAAATAGGTAAATCGATTTTCAATTTTTATGAAATCGATTTATCAATTTATAGTTACTTATTTTGAAATTTGGTGTTTTTTTTGTAATTATGATGTAATTCCATTACTTTTTATTTTAGATTTACGTTATGACACATTTATAAGATTTATAAAAAAAAACCTGATTTCCTTTTGTAAATTTTTGTTAGGTAAAAAGATATAAATATATGCAATTAGTTCAGTTTTTTTTTTTAATTTTATGCCTAATAATTTGTTGTACGTATCTTAGGGGATCTTTGTAAAGGGGGGGGGGGTCGTAACTAAAAACTTTTAAAAACATGGAGAATACTGTAGTTTTGCGCATTTGTCAAATATTGATTTACTTATGTTCTATTTACATATTTAACTAATTAGTTAGCTTAGTCTGCATTTGCAACACTTTTGAGGAAAGAATAATTGTTTGTAAATAAAAATGTAAATCAGTGTTTTACATTTTTATTATTTTAGTTAAAGAAAAACTTGATTACTCTTAATAAAAAAAACCCTACTCACCAGGCCACCATTAAAGCAAAAAGAGGGGAGGAACCTCTTTACTTGTGTTAAAATATTTAGGAAATTAAATTTTGAGTAACAAAAGGAATTTTTAGTAAATGATAGCTAATGACCGTTTACTAAAAATTAATGACATAAACAGGCCAAACAAATAATTTAGGAATGGTCTATGTTGAATAGACTTAACAAGACCCGGGTCCGGTCATAGTAGGTATTA